ATAAATCCAATATGTTGAGTATTTGTGTGGTCTTGATTGGGAACATGAGTACAGACCCAAATCAAGAATAAATAAAGAAATTAGTTATGTAGTGAACTTTAAAATGATTTACTGAAATAAATCATGATAATAATTAATATGAATTAAATATGAGAACCTTTTTGAATAAAAGTCAACTGAATCAATTTTGACTCTGTCAAAGTCAACCACCCAAAAATATGGTGTCTGAAAAAGTATACTAAATAAACATAAAAATTATATCATTGGATAGAGCTCGACTATCTGATCGCAACGATGCAAACACATTTCAATTCAGAGAAAGTTGGAGCAAAAAGTGTACCCCGACTAGGACCAAATTAGTCCCAACCAGAGAAGAATCGTGAGAAATTCATCAGCATCGCAGCCCTGCACACTAATCGATCCATCATCACCAGGATCACCAATTGTCTTCTTCTTTCTTCTCTAGCTATAAATGCTACTCTCCTCTTCCTCATTTCCACACCAAAATCCTTCCTTCTTCTTTCATATGAGAGCTATGAATATGGAGAGTACATAGATGCTGTCAATTTCGTGAAAGGTCGCCGGAGATGGGAATAATCGTTGCCGGATGTTTCGCGGGAAAATTTCCAAAACCTTCATTTACCTTCGAGGTAAGCCCGTAGATATATGTATCTAATGACTAGAATGTTCATATAGGTCGTTTCTATGTTCATAAATGGTCATTTGGTTGAGTTTTGTGTTTGACATGCTTGAAAAACTAAGAATCATAAACCATGAAATTGATCTTAAAATTATGAATTAATGATGCTAAAATGATCCATGAACCTTGGAGAACATTTTTATATACTTTAATTGAAGTTTGGGAAGTAAAAATGACATTTCCGCAAGATGACTCGAGGTAGAAGACGATGAACAGTCGATTATCAACTTGAATGATTATTATGATGATTATGACTTGATGAAACTACTGATTAAAATGATTACCTCCCAACCTGACAGTGAGCATTCCGCTATTCGGTTTCTGGATGACCTTAAGCGAAGGTAAGTTTAAGATTTTGAAAACCTCTTTTTGAAAATTTGTATCTTAAACTAGGCCTAGCTTAAGGGTTAGTTAAGAGTACCTTAAACTCGAATATAGTTTAAATATCTTAAACTAGAATTCGTTTAAGAGTTGGTAAACATCAAATAGATTGGCCTTAGACTAAGAATAGTTTAAGGATATTATTGAATGAGGATGTTGAATGTTGAATATGAATATTGAATGACGAATGTTGAAAATTGATTATTGTATATTTGAACTGAATACTTTGTGCATGATATCAAATGATTTGATTATGAATTTGGATTCAATTTATATGGATGTTCGACACATTAGATATGCTTACTCAGCTTCACCGCTGAGCATGTAGTATGTCTTATTTGCTACACGCAGGTTAATAGAAAGAATGATGTGACGTGATTCTAGAGGCAGACGGAGGCGAGATTGTCGGAATGGATGTGATGGTTTTGAATTAAAGAACATAAACAAATTATGTTTGTAATTATGATTTGTTAAGCTTCCGCAATATTGAAAACTCCGCACTGTATATGTTACGAAAAATATTATCGTGATAAATAAAAGTGTATGAAAAGTTTTAAATTTTACGATTACCAAGTTAATACTTTAGTCCGAAAGGGGTTGCAGACCTGGACGGATTAGGGTGTTACAGTTAATCAACGTTGTACAATTGGGAATTGTGAATGATCGAAGTTATGTGCAAGTATGTCAACTATACAACCTTATACACTACAAAGGAACCTTAGTTGTTGATACTGAAAGATTACTGAATGCCTTGCTTAATAAAAAATAGATGATCCCTCGAAGATAGAACGAGTGTGATGACATCAACGGTTTGAGAATATGTACGAAGTTATGTACAAGTATGTCAAGTATACAACCTTATACACTGCAAAGGAACCTTAGTTGTTGATACTGAAGGATTACTGAATGCCTTGCTTAATCAAAAAATTGTTGATCTCTCGAAGATAGAACGAGTGTGATGACATCAATGGTTTGAGAATATGTATCTGTAGGGATAATGACATAATCGTAATGAATGAACATGACAGAGTCACGATAAAACAAGAATACAAAAAAATATTCTTTGTTGAGTCTTAGATGAATTTCGAAGACGAAATTCTTTTAAGGGGGGAAGAAATGTAACGCCCCAAAATATGGTCTAAAAGTTATTCTCTAATAAAAGTAGTTTAGAAACAATATTTTGACCCAACAAAACATTATTTATATGTTTGACCAAAAACAAAGGACTTTTTGGAGTCAATGATTTTGTTAAGATTGACTTTTATGGTCTCGTAGAGACGAATCCAACGGTATATTTTATGAATAAATCTGATGCACTGAATGGTGATATTAAGAATCCAACAGCATTGTGAATTATGGACTGATTACTACATAAGTTTGAATGGTGATATTTAAGAATCTACTATGTTCATTATCCTTGTTAAAATAACAAAGACAAATTTAAATATGAAAAAATGAATATTTGTACATATATGTGTGATTGGTATTGTTTAAGAAATTATTTTGTGAATTCTTTTGTTGTGCCATGGTACCACTCAGCTTTGACTGCATCTCATGGTTGATCATATTGTTGTAGTTTGCTAATCGCTTCCGCACTATTCTAAATGATTTTACTCCGATGTTATTATGAAATATTTCACACAATTGTTGAAATAAAGTTTTTAAATGTTTGAAATTTTCACGTTACCAAATTAATACTTTAGTCCAAAAGGGGCTCGGTCGATATCTTTTTTTGCCTCCTCATGAGTTTTTTTAAGTCATGCGTTTAAGACCCATTGGTTCCGAGAAGAACTTAACAATTGTGGAATAATCTGGATATATTTCATCAGAAAGATAATGGTTGTGTTTGGAAAAC